CTCTAAACAGAGAATTATCAAGAGAGGAAATCCAAATGGCTGAGAAGCACTTAAATATGTTCAAAGTCCTTCAGGGAAATGCAAATGAAAAAAAAACAAAAACAAACAAGCCTCTGAGATTTCATCTTACACTTGTCAGAATGCCTAATATCAAAATCACAAGTGACAACTCATACTGGAGAGGATGTGGAGCAAGGGAACACTCCTTCCCTGCTGGTGTGGATGCAAACTTGCAGAGCCACTTTGGAAAACAGTATTCCCAGTTTCAGAAAGTTGGAAATTGATCTGTGTCAAGACCTAGCTATACCACTCTTGGTTATATACCCAAAGGATGCTCAAACATATCATAGGGACACTTGCCCAACTGCATTCATAGCATCTGTATTCATACTAGCCTCAGCCTGGAAACTACGTAGATGTCCCTCAGTCAAAGAATTGATAAAGATAATGTGGTATATTTACACAATGCAGTACTACCCAGCTGTTAAAAGAGTAACGTAAAGAAATTTGCTGGCAAACGGATCTATAAATTTGAAGGAACTAGAAAAAAAAACATCCTGAGTGAGGTAACCCATGCCCAGAGAGACAAGCATGGTGTGTACTCACGTATAAGAGGATGTTATCTGTAAAGTAAAGGATAACGACAATTCACAGACTCAAAGAGGCTAGTTAGCAAGGAGGGGTAGTGCGGGCATATGAATCTCCCTGGAAAGGATTCTTAGAAAAGAAATAGTGGATGGATAGGTGAGGGGTGTTCAGTTACAGGGAGGATAGAAGGAGATACACCTGGAATTTTGGGTCATCTCTGCGATGAACTAGAATCCTAATGCTATGGAAACTCCCAGGAATCGAGGATTGTACCCTTGTAAAGACTCCTAGTAATGGGGGATACAGAGCCTGAACTGGCCATATTCTGTAACCAGGCAAGGTTTCCAGTGGAGGGATTTGGACACCAATCCAGCTACAAATTACTTGACTTACAATTTGTCCTGCCTACAAAGTACACTGGGGTAAATGTGGCATAGAAATTGTGGGAGTGGCCAACCCATGACTGGTCCTGCCTGAGACCCATACCATGAGAGGGAGACCACCCTTGAGGACCAAGAAACAGAGGTCAATTATATAATCTTTAAAAAAACAAAGGGTTATTTATTAAATGAGCACTTGCTCAAAAACCTACCTAGAGAAAATAAAATAACCAGAAATAAAGAAACAGGCATCATGTAGACTGCTGGGCTGTACGTGGCTTTCATAACAGATGTAAAAACCTAACCCTTAAGAGTGTCTTCTTCACCCCCCAAAAGAGGCAGCATCAAGTCACTCTTGGCTGGTACTAAGCATAGTTCCCATAATGATCACCTCTCTGCAGGACTTTTGCCTCTTCATAATATTGTTCTCCGGGTCATGAAGTTATATATTTTTAATTGGTGCTCTGAAGAGCTGTTTCTATGTTTGGATGAGGAAGAACAGTTACTTTCTTATAACATTGTATTCAGACACTTATTGATAATCTGGGTATGAGAAATGTTTCCTTTTTCACAAGATTTCCTAAACACAGTCAAAGCCTCCTGACTGGTCAAAATTAACAGGATTATTTCATGAAAAAAAATAATTACCCAGTCAGTATCTTTAAATACTGAATGTAAGAATAATGAACTATTGATGTTTGCAGGATGAGCTACCAGTTGGTAATTAGTGGAGCTGTGTAACACCATGGTAACACAGACATCCTTTATTGTTAACAATTTTGTATTAAAAAGGGCAATGGAGAGTATTCAGCCTTTGGCATCAGGGAAGCTACAAAATCAGCATCAGCAAAAGCCTGAATTTTCCACCTGTCCATTGTGATGCAGGAGAACCTGGTCACCCATAACAGCCACCTGCTGTTATGGTTATGATGAAGTTATTCAGTCTCCTTGGACTTGGTTTTTTATTTGTTAAATGTTAAACTAATGTATTTATTTCAAGGGGTTGTTAATATGATTTATTATTAACTATACCCAAACCCTTCAGACTACCTGTTATTTAAATGATCAGTAGTTAATATCTACTAACTATTGTCTACATGTTTGTTTCTGCTGTGGGGATAGAACAATAACAAAGACAAATCCTTTCCTGCATATACTTTCATTTTCAATACCAACAGGATCATTTCTCAGTATATGGAGTCTTGCTTATGAACATTCAGGATGCTATTGAAACACACAAACATTCTCTTTAATTTTTTAATTGCTGGATGCAATTTTACAGTGATTGAATGTTTTCTCAATTTCTAATAAATGAGATCTAAACAAAAAGACCATTTTCTCAATTCAGCTACAATGTGACAGAAAAGAAAACGCTGTCAGTCACGGATTCAAGTTGAGAGCTGTAAACCAAATAATCTACAATTTCAAAAGTTATATAGGCACAACAGAAAAATATATAAATAATTAAGGCTATTTTTGATAGGTACTGATTTTAAAGAATGCCCTGACTGTTTATAGGTTGAAATAGTAACCTCAAACAGCTGATAATAGGATGTCATTTCTTGGGGAAATTATTAGGTTATTCAGGTAGAAGCCTCATAAATGACACTTGCGATCCCAGTGAGCTACCTTGTCCCTCTATGATGAGAATACATGGGGAAAGGATGACTGCCTATGAAGCAGAGAGCAAGGTCCATAATACACTAAGTCTGCATATCCTGATGTTCTGACTCCAAACTTTACAAAACATACTCTAGCTGTCTATAAATCATACAGTTTATGGTACTAGATAGGAACACCTAAGTGCATTAAGAGAATCGGGAACACATATGAAAAGAGAAGAAAGAAAAGCAGAGAGAGGGGAGAGAGAGAGACAGAGAGAGACAGAGACAGACAGAGACAGAGAGAGACAGACAGAGACAGAGACACAGACAGAGACAGAGAGACAGAGAGGATAGAGTGAAACAGATGTGTGTGGTGTGGTGGGTGGATGTTTGTATGTGAGGGCTAATGTGAGCCAAATGTGCAAAGTGATAAGGAAGACAATAGAAGAACATTATGGTTCTAATGTTTGCCATGAAGGAGTATTGGAGGCACAATAAGGGAAAGGGACTTGTTGAAGAGTGTAATCTGTCCCTGGTGTGTGTACCGATTTAACACAATAAGCTACCCAAAGTATTAGTGCTGCGACACAAAGGTATGTTCATTGCCCTCTTCAAATTTTTCTCCTTCCTTTCTTCAATCATGGCATATCTGCCCTCTGGAAGTTGCAGCATTCAGATCCCATCTTAGAGGTATTGACAGGCCATTGCAATTCTGATATATATATATATATATATATATATATATACATATATATATATATATATGTCACCAGGATGAGTACTTCAAACATGGAAATAGAGGTGAAATAATCGTATGATGGCCAGAGGATGAAATAGATTGGACACATAAGAGAAGAAAAGAACTAGTTTGCTGTAAATAGGACATTAAGGAGATTGAGTGAATGTACAAAAGGAAAAGATAGCAAGGGGTGGAAGGTTCTAAGGGATTTACTAGGTGATTGTGTTCTGAATTGTGATGGCAATGTGAACAGAAAGGCCATTATGATAAAGTAACAGAAGAAAAAAGAGGAAGAATGCATTGGAAACTGAAGGAAAGGCCATTCTTATTACAAACTAGCAAAGAACTTGGCTGAATTATGTTCGTGCCCATGGCATGCAGAAAGCAGAATTTAAGAAGAGATGAATGTGAATATCTAGTGCATGAAATATATGAGCTATAAAGCTTTAGGGTTTTTTTGTGACTTCTTTTAGCTACATACTTTAAATTCATAAAAAGAAATGATAGAGAAGTAGAATTTACAATAAAAAGGGAAACAGAATTTAAGGACTTGAAGGATTCTCTCCTGCTCATATAGTAAAGAATGAAAAGCAGTTCAGCAGATGAAAGTAAGCAGGTGACCTTCTAATGGGAGATGATTATGGATAGAATGATGGCAGGAGCTGCACATCCGGAAGAATGACCCAATGGTTGGTTTGGTATGGAATAGAGCATGTGATCATTTATGACTTGAATTTTTGCATCATTTTCAGGTGAAGACTGATATGATGGGGGTAAATAACATTAAGGTAATATTACCAGACTCTCATGGTAGACTCTGCCTCTGGAGAAATATATATAAAAAAAGATTTGGGGAGTGTAGGAAAGTTTAAATATCTCTTTGTTTCTGATAAATTCTAGAAGTCTGTCATATTTTTATAGTAAACACAGGATAACATATGCACATTTTGTCTTAAGTAAAATAACAATTCTGTTTTCAATATTTTCAAAGTATTATGAGTCTAGTGCAAGGAATAAATCAGAAATGACCATGGAAAATATCATAATGGCAAATAATTGGGGAAGGGAAGCACACAAAAAAGAATTACAAATTTAATAACATAAAGGATGTTTATTATTTAGGAAACTATAATAATTGAGAATAATTCAAAAATAACAAAGTAAAAATTAGATAGGTTTTTAAGTAGAGTTGGTCTCACTAGATTATTACAAAATAAAACAGCTGACGTGAAAGACAACATTTAATAGATTTATCCTTTAAATCATCCTTTCTAAATTATGGCCGACTGTGACATTAAACTCATATCTCTGCTCTGCCCATTAATTTATATCATAGGAATTCAGTCTTGCTGTTCCTTCCCAACAGCATTTTAGACAACGTTAGGACAAGGAAACTATAAGTTGAAGACGTTATCAATTATTGCTATATTATAAACCTCCCTAGAGCAGGCCCTGAAAAACATGAGCATCTGGTACCTTCCAGTTTAATGTGGCATAAAACAAAATAAACCAATGAAGGAGTTATGAGCACAATGGGATGTCAGAGAGGAGTCAAGGATGCACTGATCATGGAATTAGGTCAAAGAGCAGCATGTCTTTCATCTAAACTACACAGTGATATACAATGTAAACACATGTGCAAGGATGCGTGTAAATTCAGAGTTTTAGCAATTGCTAAGTGAGACCTACTTTCTCGTAGTACTTGATCTCATAGTCCAGGACAGCGCCATTGGAGAAAGCAGGGGCTTGCCATGATAGGGCAAGGCTGTTCTGGGATGCCCAGTCCTTCCTCACCATCCCTATCAGAGAAGGTGCTGTAAGGAAAGGAAGAAAATAATTGATTAGCAGAGATAATTTTCAGTCTCTGAATACAAGCTATGTCTCTCCCAAAGCAAATGCAATATTTTACATACAGGATACCAACTGCCAATGCCAAATTAATATAAATCGGCTCAGAGTATCTTCCACTCAAGTCAATAAGGAATTCAAAGGCTTAGGAACACCATTAAGGAACATAGGAAACCCTCAGCTATTCCAAGACGAAAGCCAGAGCTCATTTGCCTCTAGCTCTGTCAAGGAGGCTGTTGTTGCTCAACCTAGGTTTTGTATGAGTTTTTAACAGGAGAGCTAGTGTTTTTGTCTCCTGTGTTTCATATAATCTATTATCTACTTTGGGAAACAAACGTGGTTACAAGAGCTTTTGGAAGCTTCTCAGGAGAACTGAGTAAAAGAAATACAGTACCAAAGTGCTGAGTGTTAATTTTGTGACATGATTTTCCAGAAGAGCTACTTAAAGTGACTTTAAAAGGCAACAGTTGAATTTAAGAAGTCACAAGGAAAGATCCATAGACATTACTTTTCTAATGACTTTGTGGCCAGAGTATGGCGTTCCATTCAGATATCGTTGTGCATAGGGAAGTGCAGTGCAACTTAATAATTCTCTTGCTGATACTGAGAAGTAGGACACCACAGTGTCCACAAGAAAAGGGAGGTGTGAGATCAACGAAGAAAAATAAGAATTCAAACAAACAACGCCCTTAGGAAATTGTGAAATTCTCCCAGTTCATTCTCAGAAATCTGTTTAATGTGTTAACAATAGGTGATGTAAGATTTAAAAACTGAATCATTGTGATATTTAAAACTTCTGATAAAAACTCGTTTTAATATTTTCCTTCTAAAGGTTGTCTTTGCAGCATAAGAAAATTATTTTTTTTAATTTATGACAGTTTTGATCCAGAGGGAATAAATACCAGAAAATATGTTTAAAATTCTGGTTGTTAGAAGAAAGCTAAGATTGGAGTAAAAATATGTTGGCCAAAATGATATGTAATTTAAAAGATTTTTATATTGTAAATGAAGATAGTATTAGATAATATAAAAATAAGAAAAGCACTCAGGAATTATTCAGTAGTTGAACTTAGATACATTCACTATTAAATTGATCCCCACGGGGAGTGTACTGATATCACATTACAGTTTATCATGTATTAAATGGTCATATATATATATATTATAAAGTCAAAGCAAATCATAAAAACTAGAAATGATCAACACAAATTTGAATGTACTTTTCATGTATACATGAATTTATCTATCGCTAATTTTTCAGCTTAATAACGCATTATGTTGCAATTAACATTGCACTTATTACATCTTGCTCTTAAGGGCAAGCATAAAATGGTTGTAAAAGATAAACTTTCAATTGCAAAAATAACATAATAAATGACTACTGAGTAAAATACACATGCCATTTTTCTATTCTAATCTTCCAGTCACAGATTAATGGTACATTACTTTAATTTTTAAAGTCTTACGTTATTAGTTTATGGAACAAACATTTCAAATTCTTTAATTACATAAATTTATCACTTTAAAGTCTACTTCATTGTCTGAAAGATGGCTTAGCTGATAAAGCACTTGCCTTCTGAATACAAAGACCTTCATTTGATTCCCAGACCATATTGTTTTAAGAAAGAGCCAGGAAAATGGTGAAATCCTAAACCACACAGCAGGGATTGTCGACACAGGAGGACTGTGGTGCTTACTAGCTAATCAGCCTAGTTGGGGAGTTCTGGACCTATAGGAGGTACTGTCTCAGAGGAGGTGGACAGCTATCCTGATCATGGCACCTGAGGTTGTCTTCTGGTCTCTGTATTTGTCTGTAATAATTATGAATACTTGATTATGTTGGTGTTTATCAAGTTTTTTCATTGTTGGATATGCAAATTTCTAATACTGTCCTCTCACAATACTCATTTATGAAAATTGTTTTCACATCATAATCCAACATCATAAGTTGGATTCTCACTTATTTTCCCTACTGTCTTTGATGTGTGTCCTCAAGTGATCTTACCACAGCTACCTGAGCAGCTGGAATTAGACATGCAGCCCCAGGGTCCTGCTGGTTAAATTTTTCATTGAAAAAAATTGCTTCACATAATTTGAACTTTCTGAACCATGTTGTGTATTAGCATAATGCTTCTGAAAATAGCTGCATCCATATACTTTAGACACAATTAATGAATGGAAGCAGAGGATGTGAGAAACTATTTATAGCTTACTACACTTATAATGCTGTATTTTCTACTTTCACAAAAGTCAGCATTGTAGAAAATTTCATCATAAAAAACTGCAATATACAAAGCTTCATGCATTTGTTTTGAATATATTTAATGAATTTATTGTTTGATGACCCAGGTTATGTAACATCTGTATCTAGAAGATAACATTGATAACACTGTATTAATTGTACTAGTAAATACAGAGCATATACACACATTCCTACACATCAAGAAAAATGATTTTATGAAAAAGAAGGACAACCCCTGATTTAACAAACTATAAAAATGATTCCTGAAAGTAGAGTCTTAACTCCTGATTTAAAAACACAATCAGATCTTGGAATGAACAGGCAGAAAAATGTCTTCTGGAATTTGTTACATCAGCAACTGTCAGAGCAACTTGGAGACTCAAGTGATGCTTTCTGATTGAGAATTATATATTCAAGACAGTTTTGCAAAGAGTCGTGTTTCTGGTATAGCTCCTTGCTTAAAACTTCAAACTGTTAGTTTTGATCTTCAAAAATGATTATTGAATGGATTACTGTTACTGCTCTGGTTGTTGCTGTGAATCTGGAAGAATGAATCCTAAATGTGAGGTGGACTATAGTCTCACCCAGTAGCCAATTTTAATCAGAGCATCAGACAATTTATACTCTTGGGTTAAGAAGAATCACATGAATAAGATGTTCCATCACAAGGACAAGCCACACATGTCAAAAATGTGTTTCCACAGAAGCATATGAATAGCAACAGCAAAAGTAAACTTACTCCCATCTACTACACCAAGGATGAGCATGGAAATGCATTTCAGGGATAATTCTGTGTTTTCAGTGAAACTGAAGTCACAAGACTCTTGCCTTGTTTTCTCACAAGTGCTTCAGAATTTTCCTCACCTGACTCCATTCTTGGACTATGTTCTGACTGATTAGCATGTTCTTGAGAACGGTTTTAATGCAAAACTTTCTGATTACTACATTTACTGAATAACAAATCATTTGTCAAGTACTATGTAACAATTATGTAATAATTAGCTAACAAAAGAGCTTATTCACAAATACATGAACACTATTTGCTTAAGTTTATGCAGAGACTTAATTTGCTCCTAATTAGGAGTTAGCCACTTTTTGCTAAAATGGTTACCTGTGACCCTGTAAATTCTCTTATCCAGCTCTCATTCCTTTATGGGATGCAGAACATTCATATCTTTAAGATAAAGGACTGAAGCTGGGAGGACTCTTGCAATTTTGGAAAGATATTTGAAAATAAGTTTCAATATCAGATGTCAGGTAAGAATTTGAATATTAACATTATTGCTGTGAATTTCTCTTAACCTTCACTCTAATTTAGCATAAAACATTCAAAAGTAAAATCCATGTTCAAAACCCCAAGCAAAGAGTGAAACAATGTCACAAATAATCTTATTAACTTGGGCTGTTATTTTACATATACTGCAATTCAAAACCAAACTATGGATAATTACAAATAAGTGTTACACTGTCAATTTTATTAAGATTTATGATATATCTCATGTGATAGTGTATATATAATGCATATGTGTTAACTGAAAAATATAGCTTTAATTTGAAGGTATAATGGCATTTTAAAATTATATTTAATATTATTAATTCCCATTCACCTATTTATCATATTGCTGAAAATAATATTTATTCATTTCGATGTGTGTACAAGCAATTGCTTGTTGGTGTTGTGTGTGTATGCATGTCTATGTGTATATGCAAGTTTTTTTAACAAAGATTGTTTTATTTTATTTTTATATATTTTTAATTTATAAATTTAAATTTAAATTAGAAACAAGGTTGCTTCACATGTCAATTCCAGGTCCCTCTCCATTTCCCTCCCTTCCTCCCGTGCCCTCCCACCAACCCCCCCAATATCCCCTCATTTCCTCAGGGAGGGTGAGGCCCTCCATGGGGGTATCCATAGTCTGTCATTTAATCCAGGGAAGGGCCTAGACCCTCCCCTAAGATTCCAGGGTGAGAGTGCATCTCTCCTTGTGGGATGGGAGTCCAAAGTCCATTTGTACACCTGGGATAAATACTGATCTACTACCCAACGCGCACAATAGATTACCTAGGCCTCCTTACTAACACCCACATTCAGGGGGTCTTGATTAGCCCCATGCTGGATTCCCAGGCATCAGTCTGGGATTCAAGAGCTAACCCTTGTCAGGTCAGCTGTTTCTGGGGGTTAAACCAGCCCAGTCTTAATCCATTTTCTCACCAGTCCTCCCTCTCTGTCCCTGGATTTCTTGAGTTCAGCTCAGTGCTTAATACTTGAAGTTCTAGCCAGAGCCATACAACAACAAAAGGAGATCAAGGGGATACAAATTGAAAAGGAAGAGGTCAAACTTTCACTATTTGCAGATGATATGATAGTTCACATAAATGACCCAAAGAACACTACCAGGGAACACTTACAGCTGCTTAACACCTTCAGCAAAGTAGCAGGCTACAAGATCAACTCAAGAAAATTAGTAGCCCTACTATATACAGATGATAAAAGGGCTGAGAAAGAAATCAGAGAAACATCACCCTTTACAATTGCAACAAACAACATAAAATACCTTGGGGTAACGCTAACCAAACAAGTGAAAGACCTGTATCGCAAGAACTTTGAATCTTTAAAGAAAGAAATTAAAGAAGCCCTCAGAAAATGGAATGATCTCCCATGCTCTTGGATAGGTAGGACCAATGTAGTAAAAATGGCAATCCTGCCAAAAGCAATGTACAGAT